CCTTTCCAGTTTTGTAAAAAGCAAAAGAAAATGATAAAAACTTCAAAAATTAAAATCCTTTGAGATGTAGTTATGTTACTACATCTACTACTTAGGAAAATTTAAAAACTTAAATTTGGACATGTTTTGCAAAAAGTTTAGGGAAAATGTAAAACAGCTATAACTTTCGCATACGATGTCAGAAAAAACGTATAATATATCAAAATATTCAGCACGAAAATCCACATCCGATTTTGACGGCCTATGACATGTTTGCAAATTTTAAAGAAAAAGAGCGTATGAATAATCTATACAAATGATCTGAGTATATCATCTCTATCTTTGTTGAACATTATTACGACATGGCCTTTCAGATTGACCGCTTGTGTCATGTTTCAGATTTTTTTGCCACCTGATTTATTTAGTTTGCAAAAATGAATTTCTGAAGTTCGATTATTTGTGCTACAGGAGCTGGGTTTTCATACCTTCAGAATGTTGCTCTTGGTTTGCTTAGGAAGCGTGGTAGTTAGCCAGCGCCGGCTTAGTGCTAAGCTACCAGCACTAAGCGGCAAAGTGCGCCTACCCCTCGAATGCCATCAATTGGGAGGAAATCTATAGAGTTGTTGTGCACATGTGGTCTATCGGTAGGATTGACCTGATTTTTTTAAGAAACATCGAATAGTACTTTTCAGTATGTGCCGTGAGCAATAGATTTCATAGTAAACTATAGTTTTTTTTGGCATGGCAACTAGCTCTAGTTTTTCGAGCACACATGCACAATATTTCTCGTTGAGAAGGCACCTGAACCAGGTATTGTGTGCAGCACCAGAACCAGGATTTTTCTGTAACTTTGGTAAATGATGCTCCATTCATGACAAATTATGTACTATAACTGTAGTGATTGTTCTTCCATGCATGTTGTTTCCGTATAAAGTTGTACGACGACGGCTTTGAATCCAACAATGTTCAAAAACATCATTGTTTAGTTCTAATCTCGATACCCCACACGACAAGACCAATTTTGAAAACTCCTCCTTCAGTCTCCATTAGGCTCACAGACACCTCACTGTCGTAGGCTTCCCCATTGTAGAACTCGCCGAGCTCGACCTCCATCCACTCGTCGGCCCTTTTTCGAGGGACCATGATGTCATCTGTGAGACAATGGCCCTGTTTGGTTCAGCTTTTATCGACGGATTCCGCTGCCGCGCAGCAGAATCTGAACCAAAGGGCAAACTCAGCAGAATCCGATTCCAGAAATCCGCTGCCAAAATCTGAACCAAAAGCGGAAGCAGCCCAGGACGTGCTTTCCAAAATCTGATTCCGTTGCAGGCCAAAATCTGAAAAAGCTGTATCAGTTGGTTTGCCAAATGACCTGCATCTTTTTCACATCAGATTTTCCACAGCTGTTTTTCCACAGCAAATTTTTCACAGCTGCTTTTAGAAATCCACAGCCGAACCAAACAGGGCGAATAGCTATGGGGCAGACGGCTTTCCCAACTTGACTTCAAGATATGTTTGTGAGGTACGCCGTCATCCCCATCCTCCATGTAGGCTTGGAGGCAAACTTGCCGTTTTGAGGTAGTGCCTCCATAGCTGATGGATGCCTCTTGAAACGGGAAATCCATCATGGTGAACCCATGGGCTAGCTTGAACAGCATGTAAGCAGCATACATGGAGTTCCGGCAGAGCATTCTGCTATGTATTTTGCCACGGATTTCCAACGACCAAACTCCCCGAAGTTGAGCTGCTTCACGGAAGCTGTCACAAATTAATGCGAGGGTATATA